ACAACAGAGGAACATTTGAGTTATGGGAAGAGAGAGAATGAGTACAGAGAGAAAGTAAAGTTTGTTAAGAGAAGTCTTCAAATCAGAGGTAACGAGGTATTAGTAGTTCGGAAGCATAAACTTTGGATTCAGAAAGGCTCAGATCTGTTCTGCTTACTAGCCATGTGACCTGGGACAAGTAACTTTTTTTTTTTTTTAAGTTTAATTTTCCCAGCTGTAAAATACATACAACATCTACCTTAATCAGTTTGTTTAGAGGTTGGGTGATGGGAGAGAACATGTCCAGCCACTTAAGTAGTTACTTCTCTGGAGAGAATTTCTAGGCTTCGGGAAAGAAAGAGAAATCTATTTTTAAATTTTACAGCTGTTTATCTGTATATTTAAAGGGAGGAAAGTACTATTTTATAAGTGTGTTAACTGTTTTCTGTGCTAGCAACTTGTTCTTTATATATACCTCCAGGTTATAACAAGTCTTAAAAAAATTGTGCCTATTTTTTTGTGTCGAAGTGTTTTGCTTCTAAATTTTTTTTTATTTTAATGCTTTTTAGCCTTATTGTAATTTGTACCCAGAATCACTGTTTCCCTTTTCTACAACAAGTTTTCCAAAACATTCTTTTAAAAGACTAGCTGGGCACAATGGATCTCTCCTGTAATCCCAGCACTTTAGGAGGCCAAGGTAGGAGGATTGCTTGAAGCCAGAAGTTTGAGACCAACCTGTGCAACAAAATGAGGCCTGATCCCTTAAAAAAGGAGACTCATTCAATGTGTAGAAATTCAGGCCGGTCATCATGCTCACATCTGTAATCCCAGCTCTTCGGGAGGCAGAGGTGAGTGGATCACTTGAGGTCGGGAGTTTGATGTCTCTACCAAAAAGACAAACATTAGCCAGACATGATGGCGTGTTCCTGTAGTCCCAGCTACTTGGGAAGCTGAAGCAGGAGAATTGCTTGAGTCCAGGACATGGATGTTGCAGTGAGCTGAGATCGTGCTACTGCACTCCAACCTGGGCAACAGAGCAAGACTCCATCTCAAAAAAAAAAAAAAGAAAAGAAAAGAAAAAGAAATTCACATGCATATTTAAACATCTTAAACACCCTAATATTTGGGAATTCTGATTATCAAATTCAGATTTCATAGGAATAAGTTACTTTTTAAAATAAAGGTAAAAGCATTCAAGGTTACAATTTATATTTAAGTAATTTTTAAAACGTGACTTTTGCCCTTGTTAATAAAACAGAAAAATAGATTGGAAACTCCTGGAGTCTACATATATATTCTATATATGTTATTTTCATAAAAAGTTTTCAGGCCAAGCCTGGTGGTACACACCTGTAATCCCAGCACTTTGAGAGGCTGAGCTCAGGAGTTTGATACCAGCCTGGGCAACGTGGTGAAGCCCTGACTCCACCAAAAATTAAGAAACGAGTTTGGCATGGTGGTGCATGCCTGGAGGCTGAGGTAGGAGAATTGCATGAGCCCCAGAGGTCAAGGCTGCAATGAGCTACGATTGTACCACTGCACTCCAACCTGGGTGAAAGAATGAGATCCTGTTTTTAAAAAAATAAAGTTTTCAGTATCTCACTGTTTTAGGTAAAAAGAACATTTTAAAATTAAATATAATGTATATAGTATATTCTTTTTCACTTGCAACAAGTATTTTTTTCTTGTGGCATTATTTATTAACTGTATTCTACCTGTTTAAGAAGCGCATACTGGTACTTTGTAAGTATCAGAAGATTGTAGATTATCTCATTTGCTAAAATAATGTTAGCAAGGATTGCTTGTAAACAGCACACTTTGTTTTGTATTTTCTTCGCAAATGTGGTTCTCTCACTGTATTTCCCTTCTGTGTCAATTCAGTTATTCCTTTTCTAGAACGCCTCAAGTCTTGGTGAAATTATAATGCTTCTGACTTTTAAAGAAAAGCAGGTTTTCCTTTCCAGTTAGCACAACTTGTTAGCTCTTTTGGTTGTTTTTGTGCCGATACCTTTATTTTCCCGGCTGGGTACTGTATTTTCTTTCAATCCAATTACATCTTTAAAAATATAGATTTGTCAGTCTGTTCCATATTACTGCCAAATTATTTTTCCTGTTTCGTAATACATGCCATGTGTGTGTGTGTTTGTGTGTGTGTAGCCTTTGAAAAATGACTTCACCTTTGTCTCTACACCTTTAGGGTAGAGGGTGGTGGGGTTTTCTGCAGTCCCTTATGCAGTGACTACACCAGCTTTACTTAAAATTTATGGAAATCAGAGTAGAATGTGCTTTTAGCCTCTTGGGAGTCCTAGAAATCAATTCATGGCGTGATTTGCAAAGAAATTCCCAGTTTTCTTCCAAGAAGCTCATATTCTACTGTTGTGTCATTAGTCTGCTGTTATGTCCCAGCTGTATAACTATTTCTATGTGTGTTGGGAAGGTGTATACCAACTCAAAAATTAAAGTTTATACCATACTGACCTGACAAATGCAATTTTCAGTAAGCCTGAGAAGACAAAATTAGATATATTTTTTTCTGTTGCAACTGACAGCACTTTGGTATGTGGGGGTTTGCAGAGTGCTGAGATGGGAGATTTGAGCTATGTAATCAAGAATGGTTAAAGGTAAAGTAGGTCTTGCAGGCCACTAGAAATAGATAGTAGGTATTATCAAGGGTGTTACATTCTTCCTCTTTTCTTGCGTTTTAGCTTCATTCTCTCTTTCTGCCAATACATTTTCTCCATGAGTCAAGGGATATCACCATCAGTGATTTTAGGCTTATTTTCTCGTAGCTTTGTAGCTAGTGTTTTTAACAGCTAGCTCTAGTCTATAAAAAATAAACCCAGAGGAGGACTCTTGATGGATGTAGTCTAGGATATATATACTCTTCCTAGTGACCAGGGGGATAGAGCTTATTGCCAAAAAGGAGTGATTGGGTCATCAAGGATTATTACTGGGCAAACAGAAAATACTCATTATTGGTATTTAAAGGGATCAAGTTTTGAGCTTATTCAAAAGTAGATAAAAATTCCTACGGGTTACAGTTTGTAGTGGAAGAAATTTTTTTTTCCCATATTATTTCCATATGCTTACACCTTTTGCCTGACCCATGTTGTAAATTCTTATTCTTTGTTATATAGTACAGGTATAATTCAGTAGTTAGTTGGATCACTTTGGGTTTGTGTAGTCTGTGCACATGATTTTTATTCTGGTGGTTATGAACTTAGACCACTCTATGCCAAAAAAAGAAGGGCTTTGGTTTGAATCCAGCCAGACTTAGAGGTTAAATGTGGACAGAAGGTGTCTGCATCCATGCGGGCCCATTGTTTTTCTTCCCATTTCATTTCCTATGTTTTTCCTCTTAAATCACGTCTCCATGAGTCAATATTTACATATTGGAATAGATAAGTCATCTGATTAGTTTACTCTTATTATATAATGTGTAGTTGATTGTTTATTTAGGAGCTAATGTTTCTTTAAATGGATTCCTATTTAAGGATTATCCCCTGGCTTTTGATTTTTTAAAAATCTTGGTGCAGTTCAGTTCAACCAGCTGCAGTGCCCAGAGCCTACTATGCTCCTGGTACTAGACTTACAAAGAAGAATTAAAACAGTTGTGTTCTCTAACATGAACTTAGAGACAAATACAATCAGAAGGTTCCCCCACATAATAATGATGCTAAATATTTGATATGCTCTCTACCTTAATTATGACTCAATTTTTGGTTTAACATTTAAAGGTTTACTTGAATGTAATATAATTGGAAAAGACCATATCATAAGTACACTTGATAAATTTTTACAAGCAATGCATCTATGAAACCAGCACCTAGAATGACTCAGTAGTCAATATACCAATATATATTAATAACCAAATGCACAATAGTGAGAATATTGGATTTTTTTATTTTGTGCTACCTGCTCCTGTGGCTGTTAAGTTTCTTATAATATTATAATATAGAATGCTTTCTGTGCTCTAACTGATGGCAAGAATACCACTGTAGTGAAGTGGAGTCTTTTTTTCTCTTGTACTAATTTTTATAGTCATTTAAAAATGCTGTTGTATAGCTTACTATTTCAAACAGTTTTATCATGTAAAATCTTTGAAGAGAATGTAATATGTAATTATAATTAGCATTTAGTGGTATTTCTTCAGAAATGTTTCTTGTGATGTTAATATTGATTTTTATTTTTATGGATTCATGTACCTCCCCTGATATTTGTCAAATTAATGTTATGTACAACTAGAGGAAAATCTTTATGAATTCATAGTTACAAAATTTACCTTTGCAACTATGAAGAAAAATGTATTGTGAAATATCGCTGTGAGTATGGTTGAAACTTTTATTTTAAAACAGACATTTTAAGAATCGTAAGCATTTCAGAGGCATCTATTCTTCAGGACATAATTGATATACTTCAGCACTTAGCATATTTCCTTGTATATCTTACATCTTCAGTAATTAGATGAGATTTGTTATTTAGTTTTAGGATACTCTCATCTGCTCTTAATTCGAATGTAACAAATCTCTTCTTAAAGGCATTTAATTATTTGAAATGTTTATGGTTTTTTAAAATAAATTCCAATATAACAAATTTTAGGTTTCTCTAACAGAAGGGCATATATCATTTATTTATTTTGAGATTGTTTAAGAGGAAAAAAGATTGGCTTGATTTTAAAACAGACAATGACATTTCTGAGAATATTAAATTCTCAGCAGTTAAGCAAATCATTTAAAAATGTTACAGGCTTACAGTAACTACTCTGTAGTAACTGAATTTATTTTACTCTAAAGATGTTTATTATGATCTCATAACTGATAGCATAAAAGATCAGGAGAGATTTAATATTTATTTTTTTCCTTAAACTGTAGGTTTAAGAAAAAAAACCTGTTAATGGAGTAACTGATTGAGTGAGAATAACAGAGAAAGAGACAGAGAGATATGAGATTTTTTTGCACTAATTAAAGTGTTTATTATGTAAAGAAACTTTGATCTCATTTATAATTCTTACTCTTTTAAAGGAGGGTGCATCTGCCCGGAAGACTCAGACTCCAGCAGCCCAGCCCGTACCAAGACCAGGTAAAACTATAAAACTTTGGTTTGTGTTTTATTTCAAAAGATCATAATGGTGTGGGTTTTTTGGTGTGTGTATAATGCTTTGAATAAATTGAAATTTTACTTAGAATACATTGCAAGGTCATGTTTCTTTAAACACTTGATTCTGCTTAAGCAGATTTCGAAACTGTGATAATATAAATAAAATGCTTGCTAAACTTCAGTCAGCATCATTAATAAATCTTGATGTTCTTAGCAGAAAGACATAAAGGAATTAAACTGAAAAGCATATTAAATTATTCATTTTTGTATAGTGCATTAATTAGCAGCTCAACTTGATTTTGTAACATTTTTTAACTGAAGTACTATTTTTCGCAATTTGATTCAAGGGTCATTGATAACATAGGTTTTAAAGCATTGTTTTTGAATAATGAAGTTATACTGTAGAACATTTACTTGAATAAATAGGCATAGCGAAGAGTTAAAAAAATTTAAGAAAATGTTTCTATTTTAGTTAAAATTTGAGAAAAGTGTTTTAAAACATTTTTAAATGTTTAAAAGCTATTTATGTATATCCATCCTCTCACCAGTTCTGTTGCAGTTCCATGGTAGTATGTACAGATGTGAATTTTTTTCCTACAGCAGCACAGAATTATAATTATAATTTTAATAGACTCATATTCAACTTTGATGCTTAGAATTTCAGGTATCTGTGTTTATCACCTAAATTTCAGTATCATTTTAAAAAATATGTGTTAAACAAAGGTAGTATTGAAGTTATTTTAGAAAGATTCTTCCCCCTATTTCCAGTACCTAAAAAGATTCCTCTTTACAGATCATTTAGATAACAACACTATATTTATTTTTAGTCTTTTGAGTTTGTTTTTGGTGTTTCATGTTTTATTTTTACATTTATTTAGCATAATTTCAGTGTCAGGCTATACCACTTGTCTTTTTTCTTTTTTTTTTTTTTTAAATAACTTCATCAGTACTGTTGAAAGTAAGTATGAAGAAGGAAAATAAAGGATTGGAAAGCACAGGCAATAACTTAACTGGATCTTCTGTATAAGTTTCACGGTATCAATAGTATAGATTTGGATATCCTCTTATTCAAGGTATGTTTATACACAGGCTAACTCTAAAATTATGTAGATGATGAATATTAAATATTTTCTGGAGGCACTTCAAAAGTACAGTACATGGTGCTTATATTGGGATGGCTTTGCAGGGTAATTTCCCTGTGTCCTGGATTCATTCTCCTCTTAGATGTGGCTAGTATTTCCTTTTTTCTTTTTTTTTAATTGACAGTAGATTTGTTTGGAAATTTTGTCATGACTGTTTCCAACAGGAGTGGAGAAGAGGAGTGCGCTGTCAGCCTTGTTACAGTCAGACGAGACTGTATATAACTGGGGGTGACAGGACTGCTTTTCAGCAGAGATGATGATACCAGAATCCATTGTGAGAGTGTAAGGAAGAACAGTTACATTCAACAAATAGTATTTGAATTTCCGTGTACTAGGCTCTTGTCCAGAAACTAAGAGAAGCTGAAGAAGCCTTTTGCAGGAAGGAAGAAAAAGGTGAAGGGAATAGGGATGGACAGATGGGATTGGGTCCAAAGAATACTAACATGAAGTATAGTAATGTTGTGTGGGCAGTGGAATCACAGATAAGAGAATTGTTTGTTGTTCTTTGGAAGATAGGGATGGCAGGTTATGGTTTGTCAGAAACGGTATAATATAAAAGGGGAAAAGCCACCACCTGAGGATTCTAACTTAGAGTCTGTGATGTAAAATTTTTTCTATTTTACATTTTGTAAAGTAAGTTAGTATATAAGGAAAGGGCAGGGGAGGCACTGATATCCAAACAAACCGTTTTGTTCAGATATGTCTTACGATAAAGTGAAGTAGAAGGGATTGGATTCTACTAGCCAATTACGTGGCTGGGGGAAGATCATATGTGTAAAGTAAGGAGTTCTAAGTCTTTTTCAGTTGCTCTGCTAAAGTGAACTGGGGATTAAACTGATAGAAATTTAATCTGAAGTAATGTCTCATCACATATCAGATGCTCTAATGCCCATCCATGTGAACTTCCTACTTTCACTTACTGCTTTACACCCATACATCCACATTTTCTACCCACCATTCTAAAATAATTAAGGTTTTTGCTCTCATTCAGCAATAAGACTTGATTGGAATGGATAGTAGCAGTTTGAAGTCTTTATTTTTCATAATTAGTGTATTATATTTTGCTTCTGAAATTTTAAATGCATCTGCTTATGGGGGTACAGCTCCGTTTTGAAGGGATATTGTTTAATATCTGACATGTTCACTAGTATTTCTTTAAAATGTGAAAGATATGTGTGCCCAAAATATATATGGCCAGTGTAAGAAGGGGGATTATAGATGTATAACTGTTATTTGTTGGGTAGAGTTTGGATAATTTTGAAATGGTGGACCGAACCACCTATTCTCTCCTTGAGTGAGATGCCTCAACGGTGGAGTTCTGTTTTTGAGCATTTATAGATTTTTATTTCTCATTTCCTCAAATATTTACTTAGTGCAGTTGTGCTAGGCAAGTCTGGGTAAATTTAATGTTTTAAAGTGTTAACAGTTAAACGTTTTACACCTCTAAAGGTCTAAAAATTTCCACTTCTCAAAATTCGTTTAGGGAATATGACTAACAAGAGGCACATGTTTTCTAGTGGATTCATAAATACAAGCATTTGAAAAGCCATAGTTTAGAATTCACTATCATTTCCTTTTTAAAGCCATATTAAATTTCTTGCCCATATCCTTGTCTGTCTTCTCTCCTCTTTCTTAATGTATACACCATCCATACTTCACTAATTCATCATTCTTTGGAGATGAGTGGTAGCCTATGGTACTAGCTTATCTGCTTAACACCACTCATGTGAGATTGAGAGAGCGAACTAGCTTCTGTATATGTTATACAGATTTCTTACACTGTTCAGTCATGTTATTTATAACCTAGCTATTGGTTGGAGAACCTCTCCTCTCATCCCATAGTTATGAATCTATGTGCTGACGATTTCCAAATTTATGTCTCCAATTCAGACCTCTGGTATCTTCTGTTAACTGTCTGTGTAACATTTGGATTAGCCATAGGCATTTAAAAACGAATTAAGATAATTTTTTTCCCTGCTGTTTCCCCCCAGGTCTCTTACTTTATAGTCTTGTGCTTTTTCATGGAGTGATACCACCATCAACTTTGTATCTTAAATCAAAAACTTGGGAGTTATTCTTTATTCATCACATTTCCTTACTCCTTTTCTCATCTGTTGGTGGGTTCTGTCAGATGTACCTTTTCTGTATTCCAAATTTATCTATTTTCCTTTGTCTCCACTACCACAACTCAAGTAGACACCATTATCCTCTCTCTAGACCAGTGGGTCTCAGTATGGTTGGCTGCCTGATGTCAGCCTATGACCTCTTTATTTCTGGTGTCAAGAAAATAGATACAGAAATTAAGGGTAAAATAGTGTCATAGCATCTAAGTACATAATCATCATTCTAGAAATTCATTGTTATTATATTTTATTCAATTGGCTTTGAATTGGAATTTAAAACAAACACTCATCTTAACCACACATAGTTGGAGTAGCACCTTTGTTGACTGTTGTAATAACCCTAACTGAGCTTTCTGCTTTCACGTTTGTACCCTTCTCAATCCCTTGTCCAAATCCATTTTTTTTTCCTTTCAGAAGTGCGACATGAAAATAAAATCTTGTCACTTTCTAGCTTAATAGTTACAAGACTTCCCAGTGGCACTTAAATGTAAACTTAATATTTACATTTAAAAGGCCCTAGATGATGAATTGGTCTCTGCAGGTATTTGTTACCTCATCTCCTGCCATTCTTCTTTTCTTCCCTGTGGTCTACACATTGGCCTTGTTTCAGTTCCCTAAGTGTGGCAGTTTCTTCCTGCCTATGGTATTTGCTTACATTTCTACCTCTTCTCTGGACTGTTCGCATACTTGTTCTTGTCAGGTTGGCTTGTTTTCATCTTTCAGATTTCGGCTTAAATGCCACCAGAAGCTTTTTGCGTTCTATCTAAAGGACGCTTTTCTGCCAGTGTACACTCAATTTGTTCCCTTAGAATGTGTTCCAACTAGTTTATGTGTTTGGTTGCATTTTTGTTTATGGTCTGGGCTTCCTTACTCTGCTGAAAGCTCTTTGAGGGCAGGAATTACTTCTGTTTTGTTTGCAATTTAATACTAACTTGGCGATCCTTGTACGTAGGCTCTGAATAAATATTTCTTAAGAATCTAATTATATTTGAAATCAAAGCAACAATAATTTTTCTTATGGTTATTCTCAGCTTGTAAATTGGCAATTAGCACGCTTGCTTGAGTGGTAGTAGAAGTAAAGCAGCAGCAGTTAACAGTCTACTGTAGTTGCAAGATTCAGGAAATGCTAAATATGTGCTAACATCTGGTTAAGGATTTGAGCATGCATTATTATTTTTTAAATTCTCACAGCAATATCAAGATAACAAAACTACTATCTCTTTGACGATCAAGGAAGCTGAGGCTGAGCAAAGTTGCCTGGACAGTGGCAAAATAGGATGTGAACTAAAATTACCTGAGTCTAGACCTTTGCTGTTGATCACTCTGTCATACAAACTCTTTAAGATCAAGTTTCTCATTGACATGTCCATCACAGTGTCTCAGTCTTGGTCCTTACATACTAGGGAACTTATTGATATTATTTTGCAGCTTTTTAAAAACTAAACCTCTAAACTTTATTTTTAACATTTGTGGCCAGGGGAAGATCATATGTATAAAGCAAGGAGTTCTAAGTCTTTTTCAATTGCTCTGCTAAAGTGCACTGGGGATTAAACCTCTAAACTTTATTTAGAGCTTTAGTATTGCCTTTTTTTTTTTTTTTTAAATATTGGGTCTTCTCAGCTTTGTTTAGTAACTGTTTGCCTAAATACCTGAGAGCATTTGTGGGTTTTCTTACAAAATCAAACAGTACTTAAGTCACAGATTTCTCCCTCTCCCTCTTTCTTCTTTCTTATCTTCTTCTCCCTTCTTCTCTTTCTTCCTTCTATCTCTTCATCACAGGGACTCCCTCCCTCTTCCCTTTTTCCCTCCCTTCCTTCCCTTCCTCCCTCCCTTCCTCCCTTTGTTCCCTCCTTCTTTTCTTTCTTCCTCTTTGTTTCTTTATAGTTCCCTTTAGTCATAATAGCAACTCCAGTTACCTGTTTATCCATCCTGTTATCCCTTTATCTCTCAACAAATACCAAATATTTACTGAGACTATATCATATTCCATATTACACTGTCTAGCTAATTAGATTTATCTGTGACCTCCCATTTCTTAAAATGATTTAAGAAAATTCTGGTTATTTTTTTCTCAGCAAGAAGATGAGAAAACTGTAATAATAAAGGCATGTATCTCAGCTTGTATTTGTTTATATAGTTATCTGCTTTCTGTGGCTGGGAAGACCATACTACTGAACTTGATGATAGTTTTTCAAAATGAGAGAGCTATACAAAGAATTAGTTAAAATGTAGCATTTTGCTGCTTTTTAAATAGAACATTTTCCAAAGGTGTGTGAGCTATGTTATTCACTTTAAAGATGGTATCTGTTTTTAAGAACTGACGTTGAATTAGAATTTTAAGTCTCCTAAATTTTTCTTTACTTTTGTGATTTAAAAAGCAAAACTCCAGCACAGCCTGTGGCACATTGAGTTATTGTATGGTCAGATACTGAAAATAAAACCTGCAGTACTTTTTATCTTAAGACATATTCATCTTGTGTTAGGTCATTATTACCATTATGTCAACAAATATTTCTGTGCGTTAAAAGTTCATTGCATATAAACATAATACAAAGATATGGGCCAGGCTCAGTGGCGCACCCCTGTAATCCCAACACTTTGGGAGGCTGAGGTGGAAGGATAGCTTGAGCTCAGGAGTTCAAGACCAACCCTGGGTGATGTAGTGAGACTTTGTTTTTGTTAAAAGGAACAAAAAAAGATAGGAAGATTTATGTATTTATAATGTGATCACAATCAGTTATATGGTCATTTTCCGATAATATACACCTTCACATATATATATAACTGATTACCTGTAATGCTGTATTTCTCACCTAAAAAGAGACAAGAAACAATTTTTAAAAGAAAGAAAAAAAAAATAAAAGGAATATTTTAGCCTTAGCTCTCAGTAACTCTTTCCTTTTCTTCCAAAATGGTTAAACATATTCCCTTTCCATAGTATTATTTGCTCTTAGACTCTGTTTTTACATTTATTACAGTGGTAATCAGCTTATTATGAAATTATTTTTATTTATTTATTTTGCTAGATCTGAACATCCATGAATATAGATAGATACTCAGTGCCTGGCATTGTAATACAGTAGTCCCCACTTTACCAAACCCGATTTGGTCAATCAGAACATGGATCTTTTTATGTCTTCTATAAACTTAGTGCCTTTTCCATCTTAACACCATCACTCACTGTGGCTGAAACTTTTGCAGTTTGAGGTTCCAAGGCAAAACTAGCATGAATTTCTTTTTCTTCCTCACAGTTACACGGATGGGATGGGAGATTGACTGTTTTTAATGTAGATGTTAGCAATTTTGGGATGTGATTTTTTTTTTTTCTTACTAAGTAGAGATTTTCATGTTTTCACCTAAGGGAAACACTTAATGTCTTTTCTTTGATAGTGGCATATCCAGATTGCCAGCCTTCTCACTCTTGGTCTTTGAGGCTGTTCGTACGTCAAATAGGAGCTATTTGAAACTAGCACTGTGCTAAGTGAGGGAGATGACTACTAAGTGAGTAAAGGGCAGGTGGAGTAGAGAGTGTGGATTTGCTAGATAAAGAGAGGGTTCACATGCTGGGTGGGAGTGTGAGAGTTCATCATGCTACTCAGAAAGATGTGCAGTTTCAGTCTTGTGAATTGTTTGTTTCTGGAATTTCCTATTTAATATTTTCAGACCACAGTGGACTGTGGTTAACTGAAACTGCAGAAAACAGAACTGTGGATATTGTATCTTCACTTTCTCCTTTCGACTACAGATTGTTGAATAATGCATTTTAATATTTTTATGAAGCAGAATGTTACTTGAAAAGAGAATAAGTTGTAAAATATGTCTTCTGATTTACAGTTAGTCATATGTGAATACAAATAATTTTTAAAATACCCTTATTTGTAAGTTTGAAAATAGGAATATGGTTTTTATAATACATCGTGTGATTTCTTTTCTTCTTTACAGTTTCTCAAGCAAGACCTCCCCCAAATCAGAAGAAAGGTGAGGTTGTGCATATGATTTTTAACTTAAATTTAAAAAGTAAATGATGCAGCTATGTCACATATTTGTGCGTGGTATCCATTCTGATTAGTCAGTGCTCAAGCCACACTGATTATTAAATATTTTTTAATATCCACTGGCTTAAAATATTTTTTAGATCAAAAGAGTTAAAATTATAATTTGTAAACTTTTAACTTTTAGTAGAGAAAGTGTAATTCCTAATAACATATTTTCTACCTGTAAAATTTTTTTCTTTATAGGATCTCGAACACCCATTATCATAATTCCTGCAGCTACCACCTCTTTAATAACCATGCTTAATGCAAAAGACCTTCTACAGGACCTGAAGTAAGTAATTTATTAAATAGTCCTGTTCATAGGACATTGAGATATCATTGGAAAATAATAGTTACTGAATCAGTGTTATTTGGAGAAAACAATTTCAGTTTCTGTGCTATAGGCTTTACATGTAGTATGAAGCATAATTTTTCAAAACAGAATATATTCTTTTATATTTGGATCCTTTAGGGAAACTTACAGAAACTTCTGGCTAAAGTCCTAATGAAAAAAGATACTGTCATATTAACTTTTTATATGAATTGGTTTTTTTTTGAAGTTTTTCTGTGAGAGAGCTTGAGGAAGTTCTAAAACAAATTCAGGTTCTCTCTGAATACTAGATGTTACATCCTAATGGAAAAAAGTAGGTCGGTGGGTAGGGGCATGGTTATTTAACCTAGATAGCAGTAAAAGTTAAAGAAGTGAAAATGAAACCTATACATGATGATACAATTTTCAAATGCTTAACTTTTCAAAATTTTTAATGTCTATTTTCCTCCCCATTTTCTTATTAAACTAAATACAGTCACACTTATACCCAGTTTGTCCTAATGAACATGCATCATGGTTATTGGACACAAAGTAAATCTCTTCCTCCCCAGTCACTTTCAGATTTAAAATTTAAGTCGTTTATATATATTTTCCCATAGCATTTCTTCTGTTTATGAATATGAGTAGACATACCACTTTTAAGTATCATAACTACTTTTAAATCTGTATACTAATTCTTGGGTTAGTTACAGTTTACAGAAGAGAAAGGCAATATAAAAATTGTTTTAAATAGCTTCAATGATACTTAACAAGGCTTAAAATGAGCCATGTTTAAGTGATTTTGAGAATGCTGTCAAGTTTTTTAGACACAGTTGCAAATAGTTTTTCCTCAGATTTTTTTGAGTCATATTCATTGTTAAAATTGGCGAATATTGTAAATATTCATCTAGATACTATTGGCTGATGTAGGATTTTAAGATAGTTCCTTCTATCTGAATGCTTTTTATGAAACAGGATAGAAAATGGAAGAACTCAAAAATTGTAATAGATACTATTTCAGAGGATAAGAGAGATACTGTGATCACTAGTTGGAAAGAAGGGGTTAACTTTATTCTGCTTTAATATTTTCGTATTGTTTGTTATATTTTCCTAGTACTTCTTATGAAACAGAAACTGTCAAATTTTCCTGTTGAGTTACATACCTGGTTATTTAATTTGGTATTTGTTAGAAATTTGGATGGTTGCTCACTAATCTTAATTAATAAGGCTTTATTTGAAATAGTACTGGCTTGAAGGCATGTCCTTCCAGAGTGATTTTGTGATTGCTTTGCCAGGTGCTTCAAGAACATCTCAAGCTTTTAGTTGATTTTTGTGTTAAGTTTTCAACATGAGGAATTCTAGTCCGTCCTGGTAGGATATTCAAATTTGAATTAGATCCGGGTGACATTGGCTGACAAATTATCTAGGAGCCCCTTTTCTTTCCCTGTTCCAGAGGCAGATCAAGATGGATATGCTTCCCTGACATTTAACTGGTGATAGTTTTTCCCCCTAGTTTAACCTTTGATTGATTGTGTGACTTTTCTGTGGCTCTAGTTGTAGCTCCTTTGCGTCCTTTCCCCATGTAGGTGGTAAAAGCCAATTCTCAGTACCGCCTACACTTTTCTCATGGGCAATACCAGTGGACTTTATTGGTCCTCAGCATTTTCTTCATTTGTAGCCCATGACTATTTTCTTTCTAGCTCAGCTATGCGTTTCATGTATCTATGACATTGTATTTAGCATTTTCAGGTGTTTGTGTATAAAGTTCCAGTTCTAATAATGTAGTATACCAGATAGTATAACCCATTTTAGTAGGAAGTTGTTAGTCTGACAAATGTAGCAAATTTCTTAATTCATGTTTCATAATTGTTTGAATTGTACCTGAGGAGAATTAAAAATGAAGATTATTTTATAAGTTATTTACCTACTTAGCTATAGATTGTTTGCAGTTGGGATACACTAGACGTTAGAAATAAGTTTTAATGTTTTTCAAATCAGTGATGTGATGCCTTAGCTATGAGACAGATTCAGATGAATTTAGTGATAACTCTCATTTGGGGAGATTGATGTGTATATTGGTTCTGTTCTTTCAGCTAACATCTACAGAGCAATAACTAAAAAGTCAATTACTCTGTAGACAAATATACCACAAACCCAACCTTCTAGGAGCTCACATGATAGTGGTACTGGTTTGTCATTAATTATAGCTGCTGAGAAATAAAATATGTTTAGCACTTAGTCTAAAACTCAGTTTCAATGCCTTATTCTAAGTACAATGAAAAATACTCTGTCTTTTGACTGGGCAAACTTGAATCACATTCTGAAGATAGATTCAGAAACAAATTAGACCTCAGCAGTTATCAGCCTTTAAATGCTTTATCTGGCTTCTCTCACAAATTATGTGCTATTAGTGAGAATGTGTATGATAGTGATTTTTCATAATATATAAACACTTGAAATTTATTTTCTACAATTTGAGACCTAAAAATGATATACAGTATATCTAGTTCGACCCACACTTATTCCTGAACAAAAATACTGATAGATAAACTTAGAGTTTATTTTAGCCTTTTATCCCTATCATGTAGTTGCAGAGCAGGAAATACAACCAGGTCTCCTGATGATGAATTTAGTAGTCTTACTATTTGTACTGTGGAGATACCTAACAAACATTCAAATTAAGAAATTAGGTTTTTATTTAATTACATGGAAATTGAACAGCCTGCTCCTGGATCAATTTTGGGAAAAGGATGAAATTAATGCTTCTTTTTTTTTGAGTACGGGTCTTTCTCTGTCGCCCAGGCTGGAGTGCCATGGTGCAATCTTGGCTCTTTGCAACCTCTGCCTCCAGGGCTCAAGCAATCCTCCTGCCTCAGCCTCCTGAGTAGCTGGGACTGCAGGTGTGTGCCACCACACCTGGACAATTTTTGTATTTTTTTGTAGAGACTGGGCTTCACCATGTTACCCAGGCTGGTCTCGAACTCCTGGGCCCAAGTGATCTGCCTGCCTTGACCTCCTGAAGTGCTGGGATTATAGGCATGGGCTACCATGCCCGGCCTCAAAAAACTTCTTCGCAACAAATGAAATCAAAGATAGAATGTACTGGAATCTCTGGGACACAGCTAAAGCAGTACTGAAAGGAAAGTTCATAGTGCTAAATGCCTACATCACAAAGTTAGATCTCAAATTAACCACCTAATATCACATTTGGAGGAACTAGAAAAACAAGAGCAAACCAACCCCTAAGCTAGCAGAAGAAAATAACCAAAATCAGAGCTGAATGAAATTGACATGTGAAAATCTATGCTCATCTTTACAGAAGATCAGTAAACCAAAAGTTGGTTCTTTGAAAGAATAAATAAGATTAATAGACTGCTAGCTAGATCAATAGAGAAAATAAGAGAAAAGATCAAAATAAACACAATTAGAAATGACAAAGGGGCATTACCACTGACCCCACAGAAATACAGAAAACCTTCAGAGACTACGAAGACCTCTGTGCACACAAACCAGACTACCTAAAAGGATAAACTCCGAGAAACATACAACCTCTCAAGATTGAATTAGGAAGGAATTGAAATCCTTAACAGACCAATAATGAGTTCCAAATTTGAATCAGTAGTAAAAATAAGCTACCAACCAGAAGCCCCCCAACCCCAAACCAAACAGATTCACAGCCGAATTCTACCAGATGTATGCAGGAGAGCTGATGCCCATCCTACTGATAGTGCTCCAAAAAATCAAGGAGGAGGGACTTCCCTAACTCATTTTATGAAGCCAGCATCATTCTGATACCAAAACCTGGCAGAGGGACAATAAAACACAAACGCAAAAAACTGCTGGCCAGTATCCCTGATGAGTATAGATGCAAAAATCAACAAAATACTAGAAAATTGAATCCAGCAGTGCATCAAAAAGCTAAAACACTATGATCAAATAGGCTTTATCCCTGGGATGCAAGGTTCATTCAACATACGTAAATCAGTAAACATGATTCATCACATAACCAAAACTAAAAAATTACATGATCATTTCAGTAGGGGCAGAAAAGGATTTCAATAAATCCTAGCATCCCTTCATGTTAAAAACCTTCAACAAACTACCCATCAAAGTAACATACCTCAAAATAATAAGAGCCGTCTGTGACAGTCCCACAGCCAACATCATACTCAACAGGCAAAAGCTGGAAGCATTCCCCTTGGGAACCAGAACAAACCAAGGATGTCCACTTTCCCCACCCCTGTTCAACATAGTGCTGAAATGGGAAAGGTTTCCTTGCCCCCCTTGCAGGGCATGTAGTGGGGGCATGCGTTGCTTCCTCAGTGTCCTGCTGCTCACACCTCTAGGGGAACATATAGATGGGCAGGCTGTGGGGCTCCGACCCCACAGTGGTGTCTATTGGTGAGTGTTTACAGCTGAAGCCCCAGTGGGCATGTATTACAGGGTGCTCTTTTGATTTGCCCTGTAGGCGGCTTGTGTTAACAAGCTAGTGAGACCCTCTACCTTATCACAAGGACAGAGGGATTTCTATATCCCAGGATTTCTTGCCTTGGTATAGCAGAAGAATTGGATCACACATGGGCTTGGAGAATGAATGTAAGGTTTTATTGAGTAGAAGCAGCTCGCAGCAAATGGGGGAGCCTGAAAGGAGATGATTTTCCCCTGGAGTTGGGCTGCTCCAGCCAAACTCTGCATCACTCTGATGGCCTGTCAACCTGCCGGTGCCCATTGGCATGCTCTTCTGACAGTGTGCTCTCCACCACCATGTGTGCTCTTGCTATGTCTTCTTTTGCCAATGCATTCCTCACAATGTCCAGCCACTTGTGTCTTCTGCTGATGTGCTCCTCTTGATGTCTGGCCACTTGTGTGTATGCCCACTAGGGTCTCGGGTTTTTATAGGTCCAAGATGGGGTCGTGGCAGGACAGGGTGGTCTTGGAAAATGGAACATTTTGGCATGAAGACAGAAGTGCCTTGTCCTCAT